CTGTGGGTAAAACCTCAGCGCCTAGGACTTGCTGATCGCATGGTCGGCGGTTCGAATCCCCGCGGCGGGGTGAGCTCCCGTCTTTCGGTCCCAGCTCCTGCCCACCTAGCAGTTCGAAAGCACCCTTAAGTGCAAGTAGATAAATAGGTACCGCTTTATAGCGGGAAGGTAAACGGCGTTTCCGTGTGCTGCGCTGGTGCTGGCTCGCCAGAGCAGCTTCGTCACACTGGCCACGTGACCCGGAAGTGTCTCTGGACAGCGCTGGCCCCCGGCCTCTTAAGTGAGATGGGCGCACAACCCTAGAGTCGGACACGACTGGCCCGTATGGGCAGGGGTACCTTTACCTTTACCTTAAGTTGGTGGCCATCACCTGCTCCTGCCAGAGCGAATCCCAAGGCTGCCGGTGTGTTGCATGAAGAAGCCCTTTCTTTTATCTGTCCTGAATCTTCCAACACTCAGCTTTGTTCTAGTGTTATGAGAGAGGGAGAAAAACTTTTCTCTGTCTACTTTCTCTATGTCATGCATAATTTTATACACTTATGTCATGTCGCCTCTTACTTGCCTTTTCTCTGAACTAAAAAGTCCCAAACACTGCAGCTCCATCTCCTTGATCATTTTGGTTGCCCTTTCCTGAACATTTTATAACTTTACAATATCCTATAAAAAGTGAGGTGACCAGGACTATACACAATATTTCAAATGCGGCCACACCATAGATTTGTATAACGTCATTATGATATTATTAATTTTATCCTCAATTTCTTTCCTATTTATCCCTAGCATTGAATTTGCCTATTTCATGGCTGCCACACACTGTCAACATCATCATTGAGCTAGCCACTACTACCCCACCAGCCAGTTCAGACCCCATGAATATATGTGAAATTAAGATTTTTTGCCCCAACATGCATCGCTTTACATTTGTTTGCATTGAACTGCATTTGCCATTTTACCACCCATTCAACCAGTTTGGAGAGATCCTTTCAGAGCTCTTCACAAACACATTTTTGTTTTAATGATCCGGAACAATTCAGTATCATCAGCAAACTTGGTCAGCTCACTGCTCACTCCTAACTCTAGATCATTTATGAAGAAGTTAAAAAGCACAAGGAGGGGGAGTCTTCCTTCTAAGTCTTGTTAAAAGTTTGTTGAAAGCTCAAATACACTATGTCAACCAGATCACCTCTTTGTGGTTGCTGGCATCCTCAAATAACTCTAACAGGTTTGTGAGACAGGCTTGCCCTTACAGAAGCCAGGCTGGTTGTGTTCAGCAAGGCTTGTTCTTCTATATGTTTGGTTATTTTATCCTTAACAATACATTCCACCAGATTGCCAGATGTTAAGCTAACTGGTCTGTAATATCCAAGATCCAAAACTCCAGCTAAAACTTCACATGCACCCAGTGCCTGCAAAATGTATGTAAACTACTAATACTGTGGATTGTATTTTGCACATATTCAACTTTCCTTAAGGGTCAATTCGTCTTTTCAACTAAGGCTTGCCTATCAATACCACTCAACAGGTCTCAAAAGTAAACAGCCATTGCATCCTAGTAAGTTTTACATAGCTATGATGTACTCAAATGAAAAGAAACCCTTCAAAATAAAGCACATATTACAACTGAAAATGCAGTGGCATGGCATTTGCTTCGTATGCAGAAGCTCCAAGATTCAATCCATAGCATCCATAATTTACTTTTTTAAAGGATTGTAAAAGGCCAATGTAAGACAGTTTCATATATTCGTCATTACTTCTGATAACACTTAGGGCTCATCCAGACTTCCCTTGCTCCACCACTTTCTTCCAGGGAAACCCAATATTTACTGCTGAATCGGAGGAAATGTCAATTGGGTTTTCTCTGGATTGATGTTCCAATTTATCACTAAAGAATAGCATTTCCAGGAGAAAGCAGTGGGGCTAGGGCAAAACCGCTTGGACCTACGCCAAGCAAGTGTGGGACAAACAGAAAACAGCTCAGATTCATACTTTCTAGGCATGGGACAAGCACAAGTATGAATGAACCCTTAGATGCTGTTCAGCCTTAACATGAGAGTCTATGCAAGTACAGCATCCTTAAGCACTTTCCAGTAAGTAAGGATACTTAAGTGCTGTGAGAAATTAAATAAACAGTCAGAAAAGGAATTGTTTATATCTGGAAATAAGTGCCACAGAGTTCAATAGTATTTTCCCTAAGGAAGCATGCTTTAAATTGCACCCTGACAGAACTGACATAGACTGCAATCCTAACCCCCAATGTGTGTTGCTAGAGAGGGTGGAGACTGAGTGATACCCCAGTTTGTTGGCCTTCAGCCTCTACTGGCAGAGGGAAGGTTCCACCACAATGGAGTCAGTAACCTGTGGAAGGGCCCCCAAATGGTGCTGGAGGTGGAAGTGTGCAAGCCATGGTCTGCTGGAAGTTGCTCCGGCTCCTAGAGAAGGGCCCAATTTGGGCCCCACTGCTGTGACAGCAAGTGCAGCCAGCTGGGCTTCAGAAGTGGCAGTGAATCTACATCTTCACGCTCCAGTTGGGATTGATTTGGAGAGAACGTGTGTGGCACTGGGATCCACATGCTTTTCATGTTACTACTTTGCGTAACATTCAAATCAGCATAAATCCAACTTCTGATAATGCCTAGCAGAGCTTGGTATACTATAAAGAACGTTATTATGAGCAGCAAAATTCACTGTGGTGATAAAATAAATAAAAAGAGGTTACTCTTGCATCTCCAATCTGTTTCCAATTATTATGAGACTAAAACACCAATCTCTCCTCCTTGCCCCCAAACCAGCAATTAGCTAGGAAAATACGCTGTTTCTACTGTATCAGCAGAGACCATGATAGCTCCGGTTTCCCAGTCAGGAAATTCAAAGTTGCCAGCAAAAGGGGGAAAGAAATACTTGCTGAGGCAAAGCAAGAGGAGAGTGGCATTTGAGGGCTGTCATCAGGGCAATGAATAATCGTACACAGTTCATTGTGGAAACAGAACTGTCCTTTATGCGGCTACAATTAAACAGTCACTAAATCCCTTGCTCTGACTCCTGTTGAGCCTCAGTACTTTGCACAAACACTGGGCTATAAATTCTTTTGCCTCCCTACTGAGTTGCAGTCTGGGGGCTGTAAATCTTCAAGTGATTTCCTGAATAATTGCATTCCTGAGAAAGTTGCATTCACAAGGTGGGCAACCACTCTCCCCTTCCGCTTCACTCCCAGCGAAGAAAGTGGTCCTGCTCACAAAGAAGCCAGCTGAAGAATTAACTGACTTCAATGGATGGAGAATAAACTTGAAACGGTAATAATTAGGCTGTGCCTGCCTATGAACAGGGAAAGATTCAAGTACTCAAGTCGTATTTCACATTAAAAATATGTAACTAAAAATGTTTGATTGTTTGAACAGAGTTTTGTTTTCTATACTCTTTATCATACTAATAACAATAAAAGTTGCTCAGCTTCTGAACCAAAATTTCTTAATTATCTATTAGCAATTTTGAGTTACTGCTGCCTGAAGCTTGGACAGATGTGAAACATGCATGGTGAAATGATTAGATAGATTTGATTGTTCTCTAACAAACCAAGGTATTTCATAGCTTAAAGACAGTTTCAACTAAACCTATGGTGTCAAATATCAAGCACAGTCCTCAAATACCCAGTACTATGTACACACTTCAGTTCTGTGGAAGCACAGGAAAAGCAAAGCATGCAGTACTAAGTGGAGAATTCAGATTTTCATGACAGATAATTTTAATATGTTTAGTGCAGGTTATGCACAGTTATGCTTATTTGACACAAATGAGGGTAGGGGGGAATTGTTTAGTTCAAGTTGGACTAGGCAAGTTACTGTACCAGCAGATCAGCAAAAAGCAAGATTATCCGTAAAAAGTAAGACAATGTGCACTTAGAGACTTTCAAAAAGCTTTTTACAAAGCAGCTCACAAAGGACTCCTGAGTAACCTTTGCAATCATGGAATAAGGTGAGAGGTCCTCTTGTGGATCATAACTGGTTGAGAGTCAGGAAGCAAAAAGTAAGAATAAATGGACCGTTCTCCCAAACAGAGGTCCACCCTATAAAGGAATAGTAGAGCCAAGTTTTCTGACGATATGAAACAGTTGAGGATGGTTAAAACAGAAGGTGATTGCAAAGAACTCCAAAATAATCTCTCAAAACTGGGTGAGTGAGAATCAGGAAATCAAATGCAAGTCAGTGTAAGCTGCTGTAAAGTGATGAACACTGGGACAAAATATCTATCAGGAAACAGAATGAAAATAAAACTGCCATAAACAAATCTATGGTGTGATTGCACTTGGAAAACTGTATATGGTTCTAGTCACAAAGCAAGTAAGAGGAGACATGATAGAGGCATAAAAAATTAAGCCTGGTGTGGGGGGAAGTGAATAGAGAAAAGTTTTTCTCCTTCTCTCATAATACTAGGACATTTGATGCAGATGAATGTTTGAAGATTCAGGACAGAGAAGAGAAATAACTTATTCACAAAGTGCATTGTTAAACTTATTGAATTTGCTCCCACAAGAGGCAGCGATGGCCACTAAAAGATGATTAGACAAATCCATGGAACATAAAGCTATCAACACTGGCCATTTAAAGAAGTCTAACCAAGTTCATGCTAGAGTTTCAATGATTTACTCAAATTCTGAGGCCCATGGAAAGAAAGCACACACACAAAGTACAATCATAAATCATTTTTCTTACCCTCTTATCATTTCTTGGCCCAACAATATAAATTCTGTAGCAAAATATATAAAACCCTCCTACCATTCTCCTGAAATGTACTACAGCACAAATTCATGGAATTATATTCCAAACAAATACAAAATGTGATGCTTCACTTTCCAGTGTCTTACTAGAATGAACTTTCCCATGGTTATCTAGGGTTTCGTTTGCCTAGCAGTTAAAAGATTAAACAGCATCTTATTCCACCCTCCTCATGCTTGGATAATGAACAAAGAGTCTCTGTTTTGCCAGAGTAGATACAAATATACTTACACAGGTTTCCCGTTGGATACACTGTAAGACTCTCTTGGCAGGAACAAGAAAATCAATTAGACATCTGAGACCATCTCCGTGATAAAACTTTTCAACAATGCTGAAAAGCTGCCACAGAACAGTAGCAGCTGTGGCCTCAAAAGGTGGATATAGAGAGGAAAGTGTATTCTGGATATAAATATCGAGGGATTCAGAGTTCTGAAATAAATAAATAAAAATCACAGTGTTAGGCAATAGGGAAGAAGTGTAGATTCTACACAGAAAAACAATATTAACTACCCTGGTTTTCAAACTGTGTCATAGCAAACCTTGGGGTTCCCCAGACACTTTCCAGGGTTTCTTCAAAGCGAAAATAGTGGATAAATGTACCCAAACAACAAGTTTATCCACCACTACCAATCATCATCCAAGGTGCCATGTCCTTTGGAAGAGAGAGGACAAAACGAAAGCGTGCAAACCCTGGAAATAGAAAGACTCCCACACAGATGAACAATTCCCTTTGAATTCCATCCCCCATTTACTGAGAGGCCTGCCAGTCTAGGAGCTCTTTGAGTGGATTACTTTCCCAAAATTATTATTTATTATTATTAATGTATTACATTTATACACCACCCTTCCTCCGAAGATCACAGGGTGGTTTGCAGCATAAAAATGCAAAAAGAAAACACAAAATACATATCATAGTTAGGACAACAGCAACAGCAACAGCAACCCAATAGCCCCCTTCAACAAACACAGAGGTTGTTTAATCAGCCCAAGGCCTGGCTATAGGAGAACCTTTTCACCTGGCGTCTAAAGGTTAATGTAGTGAAGGTGCCAGGAGAGTCTCCCTGGGGAGAGCATTCCACAAATGGGGAGCCACCACAGAAAAGGCCTGCTCTTGTGTTGCCACCCGCCAGACCTCATGGAGAAAATTCTATCGAGTTGTAACAATAACTTTTGTCCCATAGCTTTCACATATGAGAACATTTCCAAAAGTTGTGAAACATCTGATATACTGCATATTAATGCTTTTGATTTCCTTGTGTGTTCCACAGCTGCAAAGCCCCAGGGGAGTAACTGCAACTGAGGGGCAGAACACCTGCTTTCCGGCAGAAATGACTGGCAGAATCCGAGACCAGGGAAAAGAGACGGCGGAAGAAGATTGGAAGAAATTTAAGAACTATCTTAAGAAACATTGTAAAATTAATGAGTGCTAGAATGATGTGGTTTTAGAAATTAAACGGAGTACAGCTGTAAAGATTAAGTTAAAAGAAAAGAAAGGTTGACAATTTGATAAAATTAAGGGTGAGGATTTGCTGAACTAAATATTTGAAATGGGAATGCAGAAAGGGGAGGTATGAGGAGGTCGGTGAAGTAAGTTTTAAGAAAATAAGGTTTTGAAATTATACTTGTTCTTTTTTGTTTGTGTTTGTGTGGATTGTGATGTCTGATATAATTTGTAAAATTTCAATAAATATTTTATAAAAAAAAAGAACACCTGCTTTCCACACAGTCCCATTTCCAGTCCCTCCTACTTAAAAAGGATCATGCGGCCAGTGACACGAAAGACCTCCCTGTGTGTAGCTCTGAAGACAGAAGGTATCAGTCGCAACAGACAATACTGGATTCCCAGACCGCTGCCTGAACCATGCAGGTCTAGAGCGCTGAGGGCTCAGGAAACAAACAGAGCCTCCTCTCAGGACCTTGCAATGACCGAACTGCTTTTGACTCTGTTATCACCATGATATATTTGCACAGGGGTTGGCATGGCAACTAGCCCCTCCCTGGCAGGAAGAGCACTTGTGTGTACATAGGCTGGTGTTGGGTTTCTTTTGAGAGGCAAAACCCGCCAACATCAGCAAACACGGCAGTGGCACTTTAGTTCCCAACCCTTGCTAACGTAAATGGGAGGGAGAGGAGGAGGGAGGATCCGCAGGCCAGAACCAGCGCAAGCAAAGGGGAGCCATAAAGCTTCTCGCACACCAAGGAGCCACCCAAACCGCCACCATCCTGCTTCCGGAGTTTGTCTCATAATGTGTCACATCCTCTTCGTAACCATGGAAACCCCAACTGTGTAAACGTTAACTATAAGGTCACATTCCTTCCGTGCCACATCGCCGTATAGGAAAACTCTGTTCTACATCATAGGAATACAAATCTAAAGAGACCACAGGGAAACCTGAGGCAGAAAGTGCCAGAATATTTTAAACATTTCTGGATAGAGGTGGAAAGATCTCGCAATTTTGGTTCTCTCTGTTTCACATTTTTTGAATCTTAAATTCAGTTCTCCACATTTCTGCAGCAATTTGTGCATTTCTCCATCCAAAAATATTTATCAATTTTTTTAGTGTGAATTTCTCCTAATAAACACAATTTTGACTAGTGTATGCATTTTCGCAAGGACCTTCCCCTAATATAATGCATTTCTGTATATTTTCACTGATATATTCATTTTAAAGCAAATTTTCCTTTAATATTTGCAGTTTTGTAAACACTGTTTGAATGGAGAACTACACTTAAAAATTCAGATGTGTGAATGATGGCTGTGTTTTGATTCTCATATTGTTTCGGAAAGTGTGAATTTGATATATTCAGCTATAAATGCAAACTGATTCGAATCTCTCCCCCATCCTTATCTCTGGATATCTTTTCAGTGCCAGTGAGCTTTAACTTGCACTTCATAAATGAAACCTTTATGTTTAAGCAATATAGCCTCCAATAACACTCTTTCCATGTAGCTTGATATTGGTAGAGAAGAAACATGACTAATAAGCACTCCCACCAGCTTCATCTGATTCTATAGGCAGGGCTGGTCCACCCAGGAGGCAAACTGAAGCCGGTGACAGAAGCCTGCAATAAGTGCTCTGTGCAAGATCTTGCCACTGCCCCCCCCCCCACTTCTATGACTGTTACTATTCAAGATCTGTCAGAAAGTCAGGAGGGATGTTGTCCAGAATAGTTCCAACTGAGGGCCAAACTAGGCATGGCAGGGGTAGCCACATTTTCTTGTTCACATCCCCACCCCATTGCCAAATCAATTGGGATGCACAAGGTCTTATTTTAACATGCAAAGGGACAAATGTTTGCTATTTGCAAGGACGGTGGTGCCTTCCCCAATCAATGCCCTCGCCTTGCCCCATCCCTGTTCATAAATTCATCACCTCTCACTCAGTGCTGCTTGTTGCTGCCCTTGAGGTCCATTTGGTAGAACAGAGACCGGATCTCCGTCTCCTGCCTGCACACTTCACCCTACCCTGGAACTCCCCTCCAGGAAAAAAAATATTCAACATATAGGTAAACGTAAAGGGACCTCTGACCATTAGGTCCAGTCGTGACCGACTCTGTGGTTGCGGCGCTCATCTCACTTTATTGGCCAAGGGAGCCAGCGTACAGCTTCCGGGTCATGTGGCCAGCATGACTAAGCTGCTTCTGGTGAACCAGAGCAGCACACAGAAACGCCGTTCACCTTCCCGCCAGAGTGGTACCTATTTATCTACTTACACTTTGACGTGCTTTCAAACTGCTAGGCTGGTAAGAGCAGGGACCGAGCAACGGGAGCTCACCCCGTTGCGGGGATTCAAACCGTCAACCTTCTGATTGGTAAGTCCTAGGCTCTGTGGTTTAACCCACAGCACCACCCGTGTCCCTACATATAGATCCCCCCCAAAAAGCCTTTAGGAGGGTGAGAAGACCCATCAAATGGCCAAACAGCCATCTTGCACAGTGATTGAGTTATATAATTAAGATGTAAAGGAGGACACTGGTGGATAGTCCCTGCTACCAGCCAAGATTTCATCCCATCCTAGGTCCAGTCTTCTTGCATACTATGCAATAAGCTTTGCCAGGCTCAGAAAAAGGAGAGGAGAGTGGTGGGGGATGAGGCTACGGGGGGGGGGGGATGAGGCAAGGCCCTGCGCCAGACAGCAACTTCCAAGCAAGGAAACCCCAATAAAACCTTGTAGCCCTCAGTCTCAGTCTTTCTCCTCCTTCTCAGGAGGCTCCTGGCCTCTGCTGAGCCACCCCCCCCCAATCTCTGGCTTGTGCTGGTGCTGAAGGAAAGCAGGAGTCCAGCACACCATCACATACTCCCATTCCTACACCCTCATCAGGGCACTTTGCACAAGAGAAGTTTGCTCTCTGACATGTTTCTAACTGTGTGTGTGTGTAATTTTAACTCTATCAATGTTTATTTTATTTTTTATTGATCATCCCCTCCCAATGCTTTTAGCTGTTTTTGTTTTTATCTGCAAGTTGACTTGAGTCCCTTGTCAGGGGAAAAGGCAAGGTATAACTTCCGCAGTACCCCAAGGACCACCTCTTTCCATATGACCCTACCTGGACCTTAGATCATCCTCCGAGGCCCCTCTTCATGTGCCTCCTCCACAAGAGGTCCAGAGGGTGGCAACACCAGAAAGGGTCTTTTCTGCAGTGGCTCCCCGTTTGTTGAATGCTCTCCCCAGGGAGGTTTGGTTGGCGTCTTCATTATACACCTTTAGGAACCAGGCAAAAACATTCCTTTTTAACCAGGTCTTTGGTTGCTTGACATCCAATGTCCTTTTAAAATGTGTTGTGGAAGGAGAGGTTATTGGGTTGTCTTTGTTTTCTATTTTTATTATGTGTTTTCTGTTTTTGTTTTTTTAATTTTGTGAGTTTATGTTGTGAACTGCCCTGAGATCTATGGGTAGAGGGTGGCATACAATTTAAATAAATATATAAAACCGAACAAAATCCTAAGGAAAAGTTTCCAGTTTCAATGTTGCAAGCAAAGGGCTGTTTCAAACAAGAATAAATCATCAGGTCTCATCAATTTATGCATAGCATAATGAACAAGAGGTTAAGTCCCTGCCCTAAGGAGCTTACAATATAAAATTCAACCTAATGGGAGACCAGAGGGGCCTGGGAAGAAACACTGGAAGAAAGAGGAACAGGTGGAGAACGTGTATGTATATCACTTGATGACTATAGTGCTGAGCCTTCACACAAGCCTGTGCAAAACAATGTTAGAAACTGAGATATGAAAGCTAGGAGATAAATGGCACCCCTTAAACCTAGATTATGGGCGCAACAGTTATTTATAACAAGTATGCAAAGCTGAAAATGAATGAACTGCAGTTAAAGTATTATGTTCATTTTTCACATGGTCAAGTCCTTCCCCTGCCCACCTCCCTAATATTCTTAAGAGGGTCTCTTATCCAGTCTTCAGAGAGTAGCTGGAA